ATTATTCTTAAACATACTAGGTTTATATACCAAACAAACTAACCACATTGTACCATAAAATAGAAAATAATATTTGTACAAGATTTAGCCGAATGTGGCTGTGAATAAGGGAGATAGTAATTAATAGACTAGGGATAACTCAGGAATGGTAAATCATACAGTAATAGTTTATGGGTCAAAATAAAGCTTATAATAAAAGGAACATTGATATGAATAGTTAAGTTACTTAGCAATTATATAATAGGAAATATACATATCACACTGGTCCATAAATAGTCCCCAAAAGTTATCACTCATAATTTTCTTCGAGATATAACATAAAAAATAAAGGATAGTTGTTTAGTCATAGTATAGAACTTCAAAACAACTATAACAACAAACATCTACAACCGAACTAACGAGATTGACATATATGACTGTACATATTTATAGATAGTACTATTTTCTTCTCATTAATATAACCATTACTTCAAATGAATATCATTGATTATAAATGTGTGATATCTATATATGTTTTTCCTTGGATCGTATATTTTCAGTTCTACACATTACCAATGATTATGTAAATAACTGATTATGATTAGTGGTGAAAGCACATGTTTGTTTGTTTTTTTCGTTATTTTCTTTTAATACAATATTACATGTTTTCCTATTGTTTCATTCATTATTATTGATATCAGTACAATAGTCAAAAGAAATAATGTACTAATCCACATTACTTCAGTTAAATTACAAAGAAATATGGTTATACATTTAACCTATCTATCTATTGTATGATTCTCAGATTTTACCGAGAGATTCTATAGATATGTGTTGAAATGTATTCGATTGTCCCCACTTATGTTCTCGTTCAGCCTCGGGCATGAACACTTAACCTCTAGACCACTGAACGGTATCCAACGGTGTTAATGTCTAACTTCTACCGATCCAATCTATTTGTTGATAATTACAATTTTCTATTGATTCATCTTTTGCCATGGAAATCGATGTGATGCAGTAAGTAATACAGTAAATTTTAATAATAGTTACTTCGTTCAGTCTTGAATAAACTTATGTCGATGATAATTATTTATACAGAAATATGATAATAACTATAATTTTACATTGGCGTTACTTGTTGTATGTTAATCATTATTATATACTAATTCCAAAGAATTAAAATGTACACTTAGTAGATTCAATTGTAGTGAACGAGAACATAAGTAGGGATAACCAAATGTATTTGAACACAAAATTACAGAATATCTTAGTAAAGTCTGAGAATCATACAGTAAATACGTTGGGATATACTTCTGTACCACGATATTGAAATAAAAATATACAAATCAATCATAAGTCTCATTCAAGATGATCTAGATTCTGTCATGATATATCTATCATTTTAAAGTTAAAGTCACCAACAGTGTAATGCAAAACATAATGACACTAAGTTAAGGATATAACAGAATAAGTTTACGAAAACGTTGATCAAATTTATTCAACCATTCTTGTGATAAATCTGTTAGGTTAAACGATACGACTGACGTACATTCTTTTTTTTTCTACCCAAATCACATCATTTGCCTCCACTAAATCATTTGGTTTAGTAATAAGCTTTCATTTTACATATCAGTCTAGTTGCCTACATATCTTGTCTTAGGGTAAATCGGTTATGAACGTGTTGATAAATTTTTCTGACTGTGATAGATGGTGTTTCATTTTGTCAGCTGATTGGCATCATGACAACCTTGATCACATGCTCTTGTGTATATACACATGCAAATGGACATGAAACGGTTTTTTTCATATTGCAATAAGTTCTGAATTACAGTTTTATTATTAAATGTCCATTTTATCGTTTTCAATAGTTCTGATAATTGTTTGGTTGGATAAATAAGGCCATGTGACTACCAAAACAATTACATTTTTTGAAAATATCCTCCCCCATTTTTCCTCCATTCTTTGTGTTCATACAACGTGAAGTCTAGTGAAAATTTCGACCGCATTATTTAGTAATTCAACTATATAGTCTATCAGTTCTCAGTTCATTTGAAAAGAATTTTTATCATAGACTGATGTCATACGAAAAAGACACTGAAAGTAAAAGAATATTGGGGACAGATTTCTAAATAGTTTGGGACTATTCAACAATGTGCATTGTTCGCTTTTTATAGGACTACAACTAAGACTTTTAAACTAAGTACTTTAAACTTCTAATGTGTTTGAAGTTGACGTCAGTACTTTAAAAACTACACCGATGAACGTTTGTGTAATATTTGTTGAAAATTATTTTTAAAATGAAGTCCTTGAGCAGTTGGTAAGAAGATAAAACTTATCAATACAGATGAAATTGCGTACGATTAACAAACTATGACAATGAATGATCATGCTATATATAATATTTGTGAACTAGATCAGTTCATCGACTCCAACAAGGATTAAAATTATATTTAGATTATTAGTTTCGCTAGATCATGTGGTACAAAGAATCTAATGTTAAGTGTTTAAAAGCAATTAGCTTGATGCATTATATTAAGGCTTCACAATTTTTTAGACTAGAAAATGAAACCTACTTTCCGAATTCGATGTTTTACTAAATAATGAAAAGGCTAGACCAATTACAAGTGAGCTATTTAAATCACGACTAGCCAGGTAACTAGATGAAGTATTATGCTGACGAATATAAATTAAATGGATATATCCTTCCAGTCGTTCACCATATTTTCAGAAGTAATCATTTAGTATACCTGTAGATCATAGATGGTTAATATTTACTCAGTGAATGAAGACATTAGAACCAATAGGCTTGATTGATCAGAAATATTTTTTGAGCTCAAATCTGTTTCACTAGGTCAGAGAAACAGGGAAAATAACTTTAAGTGAAATCGCTCTTATTTGATCATGCAAAAACCTTGCGACCAATAGTAAGTAGTAGCTTAAAACATCAGTAGGTACTCATAAGCTCACCGTGGACCGAACTCGTGGCCTTCAGTCCCGTGAACCAACTTCTAGCTACCAGACCACTGTGTCGGCATCGGATGGCGCATGCGTCTAACTTCAATCAGTTTGTAATACAGTACAACAATTTGAGGGGTCACACATTAGGATGAAACCGACGTCCAGCGCTTCCTTGTTTTCAATAGCGGTGCAGCTAAGATCAGTCTATAATTTAAAATAAGGCAATTTCAAGACCTTCACAAGCATACACTGAATACAAACAAGGAATATTCATCCAAGCAAAATATTCTGATTTAATTCAGTAAAATCTTGACATTTATATAGTTTGGATGGGGGGTAGCGGTGGAATTCAGGATGCCCGCTTCATCTTATTTGTGGCTCATCATCTGGATATACCTGCACTATGGAGTTGATGTTCCCCTGCTTGTACATCATAAGTCGGTTCCTGTGATCATTGGACACCATCTTTCCGTCCAAAGTAGTTTGTATAATCTATTCTTTGTGCTGGAATGCATATCTTGCCTGTCGTCTTCATGCACGTGGCACTTCCTCACCCGTAGCGTATTCAGATATGGGTTTGAGTTAGGAATATGTTTCATATAAGACCACATTATTACTAACCAGTACACGTGTTGAGGACAGGTTTAATCGCAGACAGTCCTGACTGTCGGTATTTGACTTTCCAGTGTTATAACGGGACGAATATACAAAGATTCAGAATTTTCTGAACGATTTTTCAGATTATTGGCAAGTGCATTTTTATTGTACAATTAGTAAGTAACTGTATTAAAGCATTTCTGCATTCCTCTTACTATAAGCTGTAGTAACGGTTAATATGTTAAGCCCATATACTTTATTCTAGCTTCTGTCCAAGGCAATTCGCCTGTCCATTATCAGTCATATTTTGGTCTTGTTAATTATTCGCTTATTAACCTTGACTACCTTTTTATATAAGCGCATGTGTATGCACAATTCTTATCTTATTCATCATATGTCTGTCATTCATTTTTGTCTGACTATAAATGTTAACGCTTGCTTAAAATGAGTTGACTTATAAGCCATCTCCAATACGTGTCATGTATGCTTCGCTTGCTTACACTTGCTCATGTGCCCACAGCTTTCTGGTCTGCATCATTTATCAACGAAAATGTATTTGCCGCTTCCCTTTGCCTTCTGATTCTATACACTGTTAATATTGGTTCTATAACGGTTATCGAGGTGAACTAATAACCAAACACGGCACTACAAAGCTTTCAATGCATCTTTTAACTGTCTTCATACGTTTCTCTCTTCCCCAGTTATTATCAATCAACTGCTTACTGCTTGCTCCACTCCCAAACACTTATGACATGATTGTACCCAAAGTAAGTAGGTCAGTAGTCCACAGGAAATGTAGGTGAAGCGAACGGTAATATTAATCCTGATTAAAAAATATAGCACGTGATATCGATTCACAGTTCTCAAGCTGCTCAAGTATGTGAAGACTAGAAATATACACCAGCCACATGATGCCAAAGGGTGTTGCTGCTTATGGACCTGGTTAAAAAATATCGTACACAACTGTTATGAAAGTAAATCGGAATAAAACATGACCAAATCAGATAAAAAAACAAAGCAGGTTCATTGAATGCTCTCGAATGGTTTTAGAGTCTCGTGAAAGTGGGTCAGTTTCTGTATTTAGAGTAACAAACTAGCCAATCTTAGTCAGAGGGTGCAGTTATTGTGGTACGAGTGGTACCTTCAAACTCAGGGTGTAGACAGGTGCAAAATGCACCCCAGCTACTTTGTGCGTGAACTCTGTACTGATAAAATAGTACACTTCCCCGAGAAATCATGCTGTTGATCAAAGATAGCCAAATTTCCACTAGTATTGTATTTCATGGTTCGAGGTAAGAAACTAGCTCAGTTATGTATATTTCCATTCATTTGGTGATAAGAACAGGTGATAATCACAACATAAATAGAAAAAAAGATTTATCCATTCACCATGACAATTAGCTTGGAGGGTTTCGATCTCATGATTATCACTTACATTGATTTGTTTAGTTGTCCTATTTCACTTATCAAGGTCGCAACTACTAGAAGCATGTCCATGGGAGGGTTTTGGAATACTACGAAGGTTAACTACAGTGATGAAACTAAAAAGTTTTTGAAGGGTAATCAAAGCTGGTTTCATTAATGTCTTTTAGACCTTGTGAAAGAATCAAAAATTGCGAATTTTTATCGTCAGTCAATAAGTAACTCAATTGAAAGTACGATCGAACTAGTTCGCTTTAGATAAAGCCTTTTATTTACAATAAATTTCTAATTTCTAATATAGATGGGGAAAGCCTGAGCATAAATTTTAAAAAGACATGCAAGGTTGGGAAAATTTCACTCTCAGAACAGAAAAAGAAACTGATTAAGAGGTATATACCATGGTTTCTTTAGTCGTAGATCTCACGTTACTTATTTGACACATATTTTTCATTTTATCACAATTGTAAATGATCGAAAAATATTTTTTAGGACTGGGAGGCCGCAAAGAAGAACGAAATCACTGATAGAACTTAGTGGTGCATACGACCCAGTTCCATATAAACCGTCTCCAAGTAAGTTAACTTCGTAGTTTCTAGAACTATTGCATACTTACATGATTCATCCAAACTTTTAAACAGAATTTAGTAACTCAAATAGCGCCCTACGGTTTTATCTTCTGCTGCGATTATCTGATTGTATATCTGGGCCAGGAACGCATAAACAATACGTGTCGAAGACCCAGTCTCGTACTTGACTTATTGAGTTATTTACTAACAGTTTCAGTTTCAGTTTGGAAAGGACAAGAGGCTTGATGGCCTGTGTTAGTCCTGGTAATGATGGTCTCTCAGCTGATCCAACTTTCTTTTGAAGGAGTCGACGGGTGGAGCCTCAACCACGTGCTGAGGTAATGAATTCCACTCGTTGATTATTCGATGGGGAAGTCGGTAGTCAGCTGACAAGTAATTCGTTCTGGGCTTGTGAACTTTTTTGGAGTGTCCTCGTAGATTTTCTGTTTTGGAAGACAAGAAAAATGAGGGCATATCAGGTGCAAATTTGTCATCAAGCAATTTGAAATCTGTAATCAAGTCGCCTCTGATTCTTCTATATGACAGCGGGAATAGGTTTAGCTTGGTCAGTCTTAATTTGATCATTATATTCAAGGGTAGGTTTCATGTATTTTTCTTTAGCATCTTGATACGACCAAAGTGGAGTCTGATCAACGAGCCACAACTTACTGTAATTATGTAAACTAATCAAAGGAGTCTTTTGTACAGCTCTTGAAGGACGTGCGTCCTTCATTTTGACTATCATGCAATTTAAAATGTCAGAATTGAACTACGGGTTGAACTGATTTTGCCTATCTAACTTACTTCGTGATCATAAATCATAATAGGTGAACAACACTTTCAAAAGACGTTAAACATGTGGCTGAGTGTTTAGTGAGTCTACTTCTTTCATCCATTTGAATCCGTACCTTGCATGGTGTTTGAGTTCACATAATTGTTGACTAGAAGCTGTTTAGTTCTCATGGTCCGCGTAGTATAACACATTACAATGTAGTACCCGACAACATTAGATCCTAAACATAGACGCGCAAAATCATATTGACTGTAGAAATTAATAAACACTTTAGGAATGACTACACTCTGAGTTGGTAACTTCGGTATAATACATTCAAGTTTGTTTTCAACCATTTCCTGTCTTTAAGTTTTATTCAGTTCGTAGTTATCAGGGTATGTTTTAGACAGATCTAGCAACACTTGACCTACCAGTACTTAGTACAGCAAAATTAATTTAAATTATTATTCCTTCTACTCCCAGGGCAGAGTTTGAAAGGTTTGAATGATTTTTTCTGGTTAGCGTTTTTCTAGCGAGTTGATTTTCTACGGGATGGGGTCGCTAACCTCATGCCCAACCCTCCTCCTTTACCCGGGCTTGGGGCCGGCAGTAACCCCCAGAGGAGCTACAGGCGGAGTTTTAGTACAGCAAAGTTTTGCTTTTATTCCGATCAATAACATTTGTAATATGATGATCATGGAATGGGCAGACCATGGTATCTGCGAAGATTTTTTATCTGAGCTCAGGGAACAAAACTTCACTAAAATCAGTCACATGCGCTACAACTCTTCCTCGACATCTCAAAATCATATGAGCATGGTATCATTAAAAATGCATGTCTTATTATTGCCTCATCTTACTCGCTTTGAAACCATAATATTCGTCAAAACCAATTTTTATTTTAAATCGATCTAAATGAGATTTCCTGAGGTTATATTAGTGATAATTACGCCACTTGTATGCAGCCTATCTTCAATTATGGATTGAGTCTTATCTACATCACTAGCTTCATCAAAACCATATATGATGAGTCTAATGTGAGCTAAAAATCTAGTTTTCAAAAGAAAAGACTGGTAGTTGTCAGCCTAATTTCACAGGAAATCAATTGAACATTGGTGTAAACTTCAGAGCGGAAGTGTTTCGATGGGCCGACCTAATTAACTTTAGTCACCATGATGAATATCTGTTAACAACTACTCAATAGTAACTTGTTTTGCTTTGTAAAAACAGCATTGTACTGTGAGGTTACTGATTGTTAGTTCATTTGTTATTTCTATCCACATATATTTCTTTTCCCTTGATGTAGAGAATACATGTCTTTCTTTGCAAAATTTCTTCACGTCCCTCTAAATGTTATCTAAGCACGCAGAATAACTTACATAAAATCATTTTGCAACCTGATTATTTGGAAAGTATTATTAAACTTACGTTGGCTCTGATGTTTGCAGAAATAACAGTGTGTTTACTCGCACATGCAAATGTACGATTTTGCCAAAGACTAGACTACACGATCATACATTTCTTCGTATTTGTAATCATCTTTTGAATCACTAACAACCCTAATTGGGTATGGTCTTCAATTTGTAGTAGAAAGAATTGAATTGTATTGTACTATTTAAACAGATTAAAATATAACTTAAACATTTGCATGTATTGGGTTGTAGAGGTTGATGCATTTCATTAATATCATGAACTGAGCAGTTTTAGACCAACATTGAAAACGCAGAGACACTGGATGACTGTTTCGTTTTAGTATGGGACTTCTCAGAAGTATGCATCAACAAACTCGCATTCTGAAGTCGGACCAAGCACCTTCAATCTTGTGTGTGAACGCTTAACCTCTAGACCACTTAGATGGTAACCAGGTTTTCACTTGTGGTCTAACATTTATTGGTTCATGATTTCAATAAAGCATTTTATTGAACGGTAAATGTGTTCATCATTCACCACAGTATCGCCTCGATTAATTCAAACAAGTGAATCGCTGAATTTTCGAAGTTATAATCTAATAAATTATCCTGGAATGTGATGGCTAAAATATGTGAAATTCTGAATCCTTGACTATGCGTAATATTGTACAAGGTAATTGTCAATTTCTACAAACATAACAATAAGTCCCAGGTTATGTTGCTACAAAAAGTAATTAAGAAAAGATATGGATTTGAGAATTTTGTTAATTTTTGGTTGTCAGGAAGGTCTCTTACATTCTTGGAATAACTTATGTTATTGGTTGCCCAAAAAGCCTAAGAGTAAAGTGTCTGGCTGAGAAATTACACGGCTTTATTCTAGATTCTGTAGGAGAAAATCAGTACTCTGGTGATTTGAATTATTATCCTACTAACTCTTTACGCTTTAATCCAGTCCACTAATCACAAACAAACTGCGCCTTTCATCTGAACGTTTTAGCGACAATCCAACCTGATTAATAGAGGTTAGCCAATATTCAAAACTGAACAACATATCTATCGTTTTTACTGATTTGTCTGTTGACGTAGCAGGTACAATATTTACCTTGTATGTAATTAGTTGATTATTCTTTATTTACAGTGAAAGGGGGATATTATTTAGTGTACGTTCACTTGATATAACAATGATTTGTTTAATTTTATCACTAAAGCTTAAAAACTAGGCCAGTTAAAATCAAATCTAATGACTTGACACTTTACTTTTTATACTACTTGTTAGTAGCTCAATTGTTTGCTTGAAATTTGTTCGATGCCAATAGATTAAAACCAACTATACTTTTTAAACGTTTATGTCTTGTAAAGAAATATATTTACATTCTAACTGGTATATATTTAGGTGGATTACTAGACGTATATTAAATCTTTAATAAATCCAGTGAAATATTTCAATTTGTTTTACTGAACAATATAAAATGTTAGGTGTTTTGTGGAGATTTAGTATTTTCATAGTTGAAAGCGTGAGTCAATTGAAGCTATACCACCATGGAAAACCTGGAAGCACTGGTAGGTCCTGGGTTCGAATATCGCGGGTGCGGGATCATGGATACACACTGCTGAAGAGTCCCATAATAGGACGAAACGGCCGTCCAGTACTTCCAGTATTCTATGATGGTATAGCTTCAATTGACTCACGCTTGCAACTATAAAATGTTAGACTTATCATGATGATTATATTGAGTTATCCAATAAAGTTCATAATTTGATCAAGAAAAATCATTAAAATTAGTCGAGAAATCAGCAAAATTTCAGTATAAACTGATAGCTACTTTATAAGTGGAAAAGTTACAAGTATAGTTTGTAGAAAAACACACCGTTCAGTCTATAAAGATAAAAGAAATATTTCATTTGTTAAGTTTACATGAAGTTTAATCGACTGTAACTAATAAACGTAAGCTTATAAAGTCACTGCCTTTTAATAACTTTTATAAATCAACAACCTAGTGTATGGTTTGGTTAAAAATATAAGCACTGTGAACATAAATATCACATCAGAGTTACTCGTGTTCCTTGATATGCTGATTTACTTAGTTCTGTAGAGATTACGTGCTTACAAGCAAAGATGGATAGTGGCTAGCAGTGGAATCCAGGACGCGTGTTTCGTCCTAATTGGGATTCGTCAGCTGGATGTACTTGCATCCGAGTTGATGTTCACTCTGGGACTCGAACCCAGTACCTTTCACTTCAAACGCCATCGCGTTATCTATTCAGCTGCTGAGTCCCGATAGCCACTTACTTACTCCTGTTACTTCCAATGGAGCATAGGCTGCCGACCAGCCTTCTCCAACCCACTCTGTCATGGGCCTTCTTTTCTAGTTCTATCCAGTTTTTGTTCATTCTTCTCATGTCTGTCTCCATTTCTCGGCGAAGTGTGTACCTCTTTTCCCCTGGCCTTCAGGATTCCATGTGAAGGCTTGCCTTGTGACGCAATAGGGTGCTTTCCTCAACGTATGTGCTATCCACTTCCAGCTCTTCTTCCTGATTTCTTCCTCAGCTGGGATTTGGTTTATTCTCTTTCATAGTAGCCTGTTGCTTATAGTGTCTAGCCAACGGATCCGAAGTATTTTGTTTAGACAACCGTTAATAAACACTTGTATCTTCTGGATGATGACCTTCGTAGTTCTCCAAGTTTCCGCCCATACAGCAGAACTGTCTTGACATTTGTATTGAAAATTCTGATCTTGGTGTTGGTTGACATTTGTTTTGAGTTCCAGATGTTTTTCAGTTATGAATATGCTACTCTTGCTTTGCCGATTCGCGCCTTTACATCTGCGTCAGATCCACTGTGTTCATCAATGATGCTGCCCAGATATGTAAAGGTATTTTACATCCTCTAATGCTTCTCCGTCAAGTGTAATTCGATTGATGCATGTTGTATTGTATCTGAGATTCTTGTTTTTCCCTTTGTGTATGTTGACACTTACTGCTGCTGGTTCTGTAAAGGCGCAAAACAATAATGTTGAAATGTCTGCAATAATATATAAGCTGCTGGAAGAAAACAACTTCACTTATGTTAATTTTTGTAATGGTTGTTTGAATCCTCTCAATTGGTGTTAATGATTGCAATTGATCTGTCTCTTATTGGTATATATGCATCCTGTGCGAATTATCTTAATATTGCTTTAAATCACAAACATTATAAGGAGAGATAATTGTTTGCAGTCTTAAACATCCGTGGAAAGATTCAAACAACCAATACAAAAATGAATTAAACTACATGTCATTGCACAAGCTGGCGAGCATCAACTCCGGGATGCAGGTACATCTAGATGACGAAACGCAAGTCATAGATTCTACTGCTAGCCACCATTATGTCTGCTTATAAAGCTCAGCTTATGGTTGATATTTGATTTTTTATGACAAACCACTTAGGTATCTAAGGATTTTGACAGAATTTTGAATAAAGTATACTTTCGAGTTCGGATAGTCACTTTGTCTCTCTAACGTAATTCTGAACAATAAAAGGTACTTTCTATGAAATTCATGAATACAATAATTTCATTACAAACTGAATAAGTTAAGGCAAAGTAAACATTTTACTTACGATAAGAACTTTCTATAACCAGCAAGTAATCAGTCAAATGATTGGGATCAATCATTGTTCATATTAAACCAATCAATTATAAGACTGAAAAAAGTTTAGTTATAATATTGGTGACTAATAAGTATCTATTGACAAATAGTTAACAGTTCACTACACGGAATGATATGTAAACGAGAAAGGCAAAGATAACGGTTCCACCCTAGTATCGGGTTCGTCATTAGTGATCATACACTATCAGATCTAATGACTAGTATTTAACCTCTGGATCACTAGGCCTGCATGCGTTGTCAATGATGTCTAACTTCAACCAATTCGCTACACTGCAAAACCATCTCACATAAGCTATTCTGGATAACTCTCTCAAACCGGAAATGTCGGAACTCAACTAGTATAGGCTTCTCACTGGAACTCCTGGTTTCTGTCCCTTGGTGAATTCTTGGATTCAAACTACTGAGCAACCTCACAATAGTATGAAACAGATGTCTACTGCTTTCTGATTTTCAATGGTTATCTAACTAAAATCAGTCTATTATATAAACTATGAGAGTTTAGCTGTTTCCACTAAACCCCATATACAAATATTGAATAAAAATAGAAATGGAAAATTACAATGAATCATGAAGAGGATTTGTAAGTAGAAGTATATTTTTTTGAGTAAATTAGTCATTGAGTAAAATATACTCAACTTTGATAATGAATAGATTTCATTTCCATCCTTCTCTTTCCTCTTCAGTTACACTAAATACAGGAGCCGCTGAGAAACTGCGTTTAGCACATTTAATGACATATGGTGAAGAGCCTACATGGAAATCACTGCAAAATGATCAAATCAAAGATGGAAGGTTAGAATATTTAGGTCGTCGTATACTGAAATATCCCAAAGTCAATGGTGATGATGATTATGATGATAAGCAAATTGAAACCAATAAGGATAGATTTGAAGAACGTATGTGATATTATATTTGATTAATCAAACAAACTAGAATCGTTTCTATTATTTCTTAGTTATTTTCATAATCACATAAGATTTTAATTATTTATTAAGAAAATTAGGTGTATATGCATACTTTGAGGTCAAGCTAACAAGTATAAACGTTGTAAGACTGGATGTAAATGTGTTATCGTGCTGGTTGTTGCACTTTATAACAGCTATGATAGGCCAGATGTTTGTCTGCCAACCAAGGGGTGAACATACAGTATAACTTTAGGGGTGTGAAACATAGCCATTAAGAATAGTAGATATGCCTGAGTTGTAAGTAATCACTTAAAGCTGTTTTTGAAGCACCACTCATATATTTTGAGACTAAGGAGTAATTAACGCTAAGGTTAGGTATAGGGTATTAGGCAAAGACAGAAAACCACTTGATGAGCCCGTGAATGTTCTACTGCTGAGGTGGTTGGGACATGTGTTAATTATCCCCAACCAATGCATATCTCGACGGACGATATTGTCTGATATGGGAATAGTCTGGAGGAAAGCCAGGAGCTGCCAAACCAAGAAATAGGACCATTTCATACTATCACTTACAACTGTACAGAGCTAAGTGAGTTTGTGTAGATTACCTGGCTGGAGACAGAGTGATTATTGTGATTAGTGGTTAGATACTTTATATAACATATCTCAAAATTGTTTGCAATGGCTTAGGTGATTCAATCTTTCTCCCATCTTAGTTATCAAACCCTGAAATATTTCTAGACTTTTTTCTACACCTAATCTCTTCTACTACTACGCATTCTGTTACTATTTCTACTACTCTGGCATTTGTCTTGAGAATGTAGTCTTGGTGTGCTCATAAAATGTGACAACTAGAACCGATGAATATATGTACCAATTTCTTTGCTGGACATGACTAACTGACTGAGAACACCAATAAAGTGGCAGTAAGCAGAAGGGTAAAAGAACAAAATTACTGATATATACAGAGAGAAAGAGTTAAAATGCAACGAAGAAAAATATTTTCAACAAGAAAGGATCAGATACCTATCTGCAAAGATCTCAGTAACCTTCCTCAGCAGACAATCAAAAGTTGCCAGTTATATACTGAACCACTCCATAACCTTGAGTAATATGTATATTTCCTATTGTACAATTGTTAGGTAACTAACCTATTCACAATTGATTGATCACTGGGTGGTGATCAATGTCATGTATGTCAGGTCCTTAGTGTTGATCGAATGCTATCGATCAAGTTGCAATGTAGCCACCAGTCTAGGTGGCTCGACACTGTGTGCACTATATATATTGGGATAAGTTGGTGATTGGAGGTGGTCAACAGGAAACCCTGAACCCGGGTTTCGTGCTACTTGGCACTCGTCAGCAAGGTGTACCTGTAATCTTGAGGGAACTGGTGCTCCCTAACGGATTCAATCCCGTGTCACCCAGTTTCACATTCAGAGATGTTACCACTGAGCTGTTCGGGTCACGACTGACCTCTTGTAGGACAGAGATGTAATCACAATTGATTGATCACTGGGTGGTGATCGATGTCAAGTGTGTCAAGTCCTTCTTGGTGTTGATCGAATGCTATCGATCACTAACCTATTCATATTCGTGTTCCTCTTGTTATTAGCTTTATTTTGACCTTTGACCTATTATTATACTATTCTTGAGTTATCATTAGTCTATCGATTACTTTTCCCCTATTAACAGCCACAATTGGCCAATTATTGTATAAATGTTATTTTCTTTTTTATGGTACAATATGGTCTGTTTGATTGGTATATAAACTCAGTATGTTTGTGAATAATGATTCATATTGCCGAGGCTGTTATTGGTGTTCTGGACTTAACTGGCTGGTTTAAGCAGATAGCAGAACCGATTAGTAATCAAGACTGCCCATACGATTTTATGTATCATTGCTCCGATCGATAATTCACTCCTCTCTAATTGGGCGTTCATATATTAAAGAGAGTATGCACGTGTAGCAAGCCCATTAAACTACTGTATTTTTTATGTGCTCTCTGTAATCCTAACATTTAACCCATTGTAAATTTATGTGTGAGTCTGATTGAGCGCATGTCTGCACATCAATCTTTAATCTATTCTCTCATTGGTTGTGAACGAAGACAATCAATAATTTATCCACAATCTATTAACACTCAAAAATATATATGGATTTTTAACACTCACACACACACACACACTCACTTGCTTTCCCTGTGTGCTTGCTATCTGTACGCTTGCGGATTTTACCGAGCTTCATCAATAAACTATCTCTATAACTGGTGTTCAGGCTTTTGAATAATCTCGACTAAACCCGTAATTCTACTTGGAGATTTAGCCTGCAGTAAATATTCAGTTAGTGAGATATTATTTACATATTGGAGTCAGATATAGAGGAATTAATCTTCTACAAAATTGGTGAGCCGCATTTTGAACACGCACCATTCTTCTACAAAGTTGGTAATCCGCTTTTTGAACGCGTACCATCTCTCTACAAGTCTGCTGAACATTCTCTAATCACATCATTAAGAACTTCACATTGGAATTACTGTTACAATTATTAATAATTCATTGACAGTCATAATATATTCATTCATAACATTGTCCCTTTGGAATTATATTGATATATTCACATATTTGTACCCAAGGTGACAGTTTTTTTTATTCGGTGAGTCTCTCATATATTTCTTGTTATTGATTATTTTTTCATATTGTATACCTCAATCAACAGCCTATTATTATTGCTACTGTTATTATTTCCTGGTATCATGTCACTCGATAATTCACTTAGCCTTTCATCTAAGTCTATTTCCGTGGGTGCCATCTCTGTACCTTTACCTGCTTTTAATTTCCGAAAGGCAGAACTCTGGTTTGCACGCTTAGAAAGCTTTTTTGTTACAAACAAAATCACAAGCCAGATCACGAAATTTAGATACGTAAATTCGTTGCTGCCGGAAGACGTTATTGAACAAGTGCCTGATGTCATTTTTAAACCGGATCCTGACTCATCATATGATTGCCTAAAAAGAGAGGTCATATGTGTTACATCTCTCACTGACCAGCAGACTGTCGATCAACTTTTAGCCAATGTAGAGCTAGGTGATTACACACCTTCCCAATTAAAACGCCATATGACAAGTGTTTTAGGGAATCGTATAGTTGATAAACGTCTATTATATCAATTGTGGCTCAGACGCCTCCCACAAAACATACAGCAGATACTCGCAATTGGAGACGAGGATGTCGATTTTGACAAGCTGGCAGACATAGCCGATCGAATTTACGAGCGGACCAGGACTCACTCGGTATCACACGTACAAACAAACTCAACCGACGAGATTGCCGAGTTACGACAGACAGTCGACGCCCTCACTAAACAGATAGCTCAGCCACAACTTTCGAATGCGCACCACTGCAAGTGTAGAGGAAGGTCCAGATGTCGTACACGTCGTAGTCCAAGCACCATCCGACATAACATTTGCTGGTACCATAAAACGTTCGGTAAACAAGCTAGAAAGTGTATTCCTCCCTGTAATTTTGCAAGCACACGGAAAAGGGAACATCAAGGCCGACAATTTGTGACGACTGCGGTCACCGGCCACAATTCACACGAAAGCCGTTTGTTATATGTCACGGACAGAAGAACCGGAACACAGTTCTTAGTGGACACAGGGGCAGAGGTTAGTGTAGTACCACCTACTGCACTCGAGAAAAAGACACCTGACCCCATACTGAAACTAAGAGCCGCGAATAGATCCGAGATCAAGACATACGGTAAAAGACATTTACGATTGCATTTCGGTCCCAAATCCAACTTCTCATGGAACTTCATCATAGCTGATGTTCTTGTTCCCATAATCGGTGTTGATTTCCTACAATCACATAAAATACTTGTAGACGTTAGAAACCGGAAACTGGTACTTGCCGATCACAGCAGCGTAATCAAAGGAATTCTATCTAATGAGAAGTCTATACATTTATTGGTCAAACCTCATCGCGAGAATGGCAAACCGTGTTTCAAAGGTGACAAACGGACACATACTGTCGTACACCACACTAAGACAGAGGGACCACCAGTATTTGCACGTCCAAGACAGCCTTTACAGACCCCTTACGACGGCTCTTTTAAAATTGTCCGAAGAGACAACAAAACAGTTACGATAGAAAAAGCTGGTAAACATGCTACTGTTAGCATCGACAGAATAAAACCAGCATTTTCAGAGCACATCAAGAAGCAAACAACGAAACCATCCAAATCCGCATCAAAGCAAGCACTACACAAACTACCTGTAACAATCAATACTTCATATCAAAGTTCAACGGCTACAGAAACTACTACAAGATCAGGTAGGAGAGTACACTTTCCGGATAGGTACGTAGCTACAATCATACTTATCTAGCCCAAATGCTACAAATTGTTCTCTATTTTTATTAACTGTTCTTTATCGGCCCCACGGATTTTCATTATACTTACTTTTAACTTCATGAAATCCTTATACACTACAATCTGTTATTACAACTTAACGCTTACTCATCACATCGGATTGTACATTTATTTCATAAACAATTTTTTTTTATCACTTTGTCGAACATAGATGTTAATAAAAAAAATATCTTTTTTATAGAAAAAACATCTACGTTCTGGATGGGAGCTTATGTAGCAAGCCCATTAAACTACTGTATTTTTTATGTGCTCTCTGTAATCCTAACATTTAACCCATTGTAAATTTATGTGTGAGTCTGATTGAGCGCATGTCTGCACATCAATCTTTAATCTATTCTCTCATTGGTTGTGAACGAAGACAATCAATAATTTATCCACAATCTATTAACACTCAAAAATATATATGGATTTTTGACACTCACACTCACACACACACACTCAATTGCTTTCCCTGTGTGCTTGCTATCTGTACGCTTGCGGATTTTACCGAGCTTCATCAATAAACTATCTCTATAACTGGTGTTCAGGCTTTTGAATAATCTCGACTAAACCTGTAATTTCTACTAGGAGATTTAGCCTGCAGTAAATATTCAGTTAGTGAGATATTATTTATATATTGGAGTCAGATATAGAGGAATTAATCCTCTACAAAACACGCATACGATATAACAGTTCCTTCATTTCCACACTAATCATTCTCTTTTTTCATTCACTCTTCTATGATCTTCCTAAAATTGTGTCGTTAGGCATTTCATTTTCGATTAATCATTCATATAACTTATATCTGTCAACATCAGTATCAAATATTCCATAGTCCACTTATAGTTATCCTTTGTAATTTTCAATTATCATTCAAATAATTTTATAAAGTCACTTAAATAATCGAATCTATACTATTCAAAGAAATATTTAAAATCAAAATATCTAAACTATTTATGGTATAAAAGATATCCTGTTGAATATTTATCTATATACTGATAAACTAATGTAAACGATTTAAACAAATTTTGTAAAGATTTATTTAATTTATAGATTGATATTTATTTAGGTTATCAATGAAAATCAAGAGCCAATAAGTAGTTGTCTTGTCCCAGTATAAGATTACATTAGGAATCAAAACTCAAATTTTTAGGTTTCATGGAAAAAACACACATAATCATCAGACGTATGATACATGAATATCAAATAAGAATAATGACAATTACTTCATTTGTCATATATGTATTTAATTATTAGAAGGTGTTTTTGTGGAGATTTGGTATGTTTCATAGATGAAAGCATTAGTCAATTGAAGCTAGACCACCGAGGAAAACCTGGAAACACTGGACGGCCGTTTCGTCCTATTATGGGACTCCTCAGCAGTGCGCATCCACGAACCCGCTCTCCACAAAAACCCCTTCTAATAATTAATATAATCATATGCTCACTAGTGACTTCGGGAAGTACATCCCGGAGCTCTAGTGAGAAGCAGTGACCAGTGGAGTGCAAACCACGTCTGTCGTGAGATAGGAACTCACTGATGACAATTGGTGAATGGTTGCTCAACTTCGTGGATCAGGTGAAGTTAGACATTAACACCGTTGGATGCCAGCTCAGTGGTCTATCGGTTAAGGGCTCTGGCTCGTAACTGGTAGGTCCTGGGTTCGAATCTCGCTCGCGAGAGCGGGTTCGTGGATGCGCACTGCTGAGGAGTCCCATAATGGGACGAAACGGCCGTCCAGTGTCTCCAGGTTTTCCTCGGTGGTCTAGCTTCAATTGACTCATGCTTTCATCTATGAAATATATGTATTTACTTCGTTATTAACATTTTCAATTAGATCACTAATGATCTAATTCTTATAATTTATTTGAAAGAATTTTTAAAGATTAATTCCATTTGTAGATGATATTCTTTGTAGATCATTCTAATCTAGAATCAATGAATATTGGACAGCTGCTTTATTCTAGTATGACATTCTTCTACATCAGTTTTCATTGACTAAAAGTCATATTGAAAATTTCTAATGTTTTAGAAAAACGATTTACCCTATATACAGTTTGTCTAAAATTATCTAGTCAAGTCAATGTTAGTGATACCAAGAAAAGGGGATTAGATATAATAAAAAAAAGTATTGAATCAAGTTAATTCAACCGGCTAATTCACATTATTAACCGTAACGACTATAAAGGGCAGTGAAAGGTGTTGCAATTTCATATTGAACTCATTAAGAGAATACACTATTCTGACTTTGTATATTAAAACTAAAGTCTGTATATTTTTTCAAGAAGTCAACAACCTGTAAGTTAATTCCACTCCTTTCGAAACTACTAATCTTAGCAGTAATAGTCTATTGCTGAAACTCAGTTCTCATCGGTATAACTGAACAAGTTGTTAGTAGTAATGTGGTGTGTACTGTTAGGATGATCCTGAAAATTTCTCTCAATAGATATAACAAGCTCAGGAGACATTAAGAAGCGTTTTATCTAATCCGCGTTTGACTAGAAGTTTTGCTAGAAACATCTTACTTTACTTACTTACTTACGCCTGTTACTCCCAATGGAGCATAGGCTGTAGGATTTATTTTGTCCTACAGATATACTATTAAAACTGTAAACGCGATACTGGCGATCCCAGAGTCTATGTGAAAGCTATAGTCAGAACAAGGACAACTTGGCTTTAAACTTTATCTGTTTCTGAACATAAAAACAATTAGATTAGTACAATAATAAAAGAATTACAGTCATTAAGTGAAACGCACAAACATACCGACCAGTATTGCGTGTCTTAATAAAATGAATAAATTTATGAGTCACACTAATATAATAGGATAATAATGTCTTTCAATTGGTAGGTCATATGCAACAGGGATAGTTTACAGACACATCAGACCATGTTAACGTGGTGGGAGCTTAAGCAACGATTTGATTGGTTAGTTATGGACATAACTAACATTCCCCCCCAAGCGGACACCACATCCAGGCTTCATTACTGTCGCGTCTATATAATCGGCTTCTCCAAAGAGACAGTTTCCGTATATCCCGGCTGATCTCTTCAGTCGAACTGTTCTGACTCGTCCATTTGGACCATAATTAACCCGTCTAACTATAGCTTTCGGCCACAGATTCCTTGGTGAGCCAATATTGTTTACTAACAATAAATCTCCTGGTTGTAAATTCATTTTCATGTCCAACCACTTAGATCTCGCCTGAAGGGTTGGTAGGTACTCCCGTAACCACCTGTTCCAGAATAGGTTGGCTAGTTTTTGAGCTTCCTTCCATCTCTCGTTATATAAGCACGTTTTACTCATCTGCGCTTCGTCGAATGATACACCTCTGTAAACTAACAATAACTTATTTGGCGTAAGTACATCCAGGTCATCACAGTCGTTAACTAGCTTTACGAATGGTCGATTGTTTATTATCCCTTCAATCTCTATTAAAAACATCTCCAAAGACTCGTCCGTCAATACCTTTTGAAACAGTAGTGATTGTAGAATCCTTCTTATCGACTTTATAATGCGTCCCCATACACTGCCTCGATGACTAGCTCTAGGAAGTTTAAAACGCCATTCACAACCTCTTTCTAAAAGAGCATTTGCTATCTTATTCTGGTTTCAACTACACATAATCTGTCTACGATTAGCATTGGCTTTTTTAAATTTATCAGAACCATCCTTACTCTTATTCACAACTTGCACAACGGCGTCTTTCCCAACACCATGTACAATACCACGGCGAATATGTGCTGTCTGCTTCTTCACGGTCTTATTTACTGACTTCTTTGTTAAAGTGACCTTTGGCTTTTTCGGTGTCTTCACTTTCGGCTTGGTGACCTTCCTTTTCTTAGGCTTTTTTAGAGTTGTTTTGGGATTATGATCACATGGTGCTTTTATTTTTGGCTTAGCAACCCTGAACTTGGCTAATAAAAAGGAACGATGAACTTGACACGAGACATCTTTAAAACGAGCATACGCCACAACACCATATGCGAATTCTGTGGCGTCGACAAAGCGATAAATCTGAGTAGGTAGTGGTTTGTATAATCCTAGTACGAGACATCTTGGAAGCAACAGTTTACTTAAGCGCTTCATACCTCTGAGCATACAGTTCCATCTTACAGAGCACTCTCTAGGAAGTTCGTCGCATGAAAGATTTAGCCGACAAGCATCTTGCGAAATTAATTTAGCTGGTAAAACAATTGGAGCTATAAACCCATCTGGGTCGAATATAGATGCTACATACGACAAAATGGTTTTCCTTGCAGGAGTCACATCCAACTTGTACATCCTGAAGATATTATCCGTTCGAACATTCCACTCTTTTCCTAGAATCCTTTCATTTTCTTCCACAGATAAACAAATATCTACGTTCCTGTCTATATGGTCTCCCTCTGAAATAAACTTTATTAATTCAACATTGTTGCTGGCCCACTTGGTTAGATTAAAACCCCCTAAACGTAACATTTCCTTCAGCTGTGAATATACTAATTTAGCTTCTTCCAACGTATCGACACTGGTTAATAAATCATCAACGTAGAACTGTTCCTTCGCTGTCTGTATAATACATTCAGGAAACTTAGCTTCGTTATCTAGAATAGTTCTTTGTAGAGCAAACGTTGCGCAACTGGGTGAGGAGGTCGCACCAAACAAATGCACTTTCATCCTATAGGTCTCTGGTTCATTTCTTATGTCACCCTGCGGCCACCATAGAAATCTAAGGGCGTCACGATCCTGTGACGGAACAATCACTTGATGAAACATAGCTTCAATATCTGCCGTGAGGCCTATTGGTCGTCGCCGAAATCTGGTGAAGACATCTACCAAATTGTTAACTAAATCTGGACCAGAATACAAGTTTTTATTAAGGGATGTCCCGGCATATTGTGCTGCACAGTCGAATACGATTCTTAGTTTATTAGGCTTTTTCGGATGGAAGACTGGGTGGTGCGGTAGATACCAAACTCGACATCTAATAAAGTCCCCTGAAGCCTTTTCTGCGTAACCCTTTTCAACATACTGAGCCATCACATTAATATATTCTTTGTGCAACCTCTGGTCACGGATAAATCGGTTTCTCAAGGAAATTAATCTACTCATCGCTAGTTTTCTATTATTAGGTAGACTTTGCTGGTGACGCCAGGGTAAAGCTATCTGGTAATGCCCGTTCACTAACTGTATAGATTTGGACATAGTATCCAAGGCTTTACGATCTTCAACCGACATGGGCACACGATGGTTCGGGTCTTCTTCGAAGTCCATCTTATATAGCTGGTCCAATCTAGCTTCTAGTTCCTCTTTAGATGATAGATAATTTATGATACCCATATTTCTCGTGGTCTCAATGTAAGGTCCAAACAACGTCCACCCTAAAGGAGTTTTTATAGCGTATGGTTCATTAGATTTTCCCACCCTCTTCTCTTCTATCTCATGTGCCTCAGGTACATTGCAACCTATCAGTACCTTGACGTCTTCATCGTCAACTGTCGGGAGGGTCACACCACGCAAGTGCGACCATGATACCATCCGAGATGTTGTTGGTACCGTCCTGCGTAACAGAGGTAATTTCTCGACTGTCCATACCTTTGGAATTCTAAATGATGAAGAAGAATCCAGGGAGGAGACTTCTATTTGAACCTCTTTACAATGAAATGTGGACTGGCTATCTAGCGTTTTCAGTAAAAGCGTTTTGGACTCTCCCTCTAAACCCAACCTTATAGCTAGATCTTCTGTAATAAGCGAAGCATCTGAGCCACTATCTAAGAAAGCGCAAGTCTGAAATGATCTTTCTCCATTTTTTACCAATACGGGCACTATCGCAAATGCTACTTGTCCCTGTACATGCTTAGCACTTTCTTCCGTACAGAGTTGGGTATTAATATGGACATTACTGTTACTATCGCTCTGCTCCTCCCGCTTTCTGTGTAACAAGGTATGGTGTCTCCAACCACACCCATCGACAGCGCATGATCGCGGTGCTCGACAGTTTCTTGCTATATGGTTCGCCTTCAGACAGACATTACATAACTTCTTCCTTAATACAAATTCTATTCTTTCACTAACATCCTTATCTCTAAACGTTTCGCATTGGTCCAAGGGGTGGTTTCCATTACATAACAAACATGATAACCCAAGAGTTCTTGGTCCTACGTGTGGGGAGACAACAGACTCACTCGTGTTAACAAACGACACTCTGGCTTTGTACTCTGAATCAAAGGGCCTTTTTGTAACGGCAACTGATTGCCTTTGGTTGCGGTTAGAAATATCACCGCTGACAAGTAATCCATACCTAGTATTAGCAATGTCTGATTGCTCCTTCACAAATTCACAAAGGTCCTTGAACAAAGGCTCTCTACCTGTCTTAAGAATCCTAGATGCAACTTTAACCCATTCTCTCTGCAAATGCAGTGGGAGTTTTAAGAACATACACTCGATGGTCTTTGTAGAATTAAGATCGGATACATAGTTCATCTGCGTGAGTGTGAGCTCACAAACATGCATCTCACGAGACAGTCTTCTTAAACCATCTGAATCAGTCCCCTTAATAGCAGGGATATTCAGCATCTTATCAATAAATGCATGGGCCACGATATGCTTCTGACCAAATGCTTCCTCGAGAAGCTCTAACGCCTTTCGGTAGCCTTCTTCTGGCTCAAGCAATGCACAGTGAACAATGGTAGCCTTAGCTTCACCATCACAATACTGAATCAAATAATTTAACCTAGATCGGAATCCAACTCTTTCGTCAAAACAGTCTTCGAAATTTCGTATGAAGCTCCAATAGTTCATGGGATTGCCATTGAACCTTATAATCTCTCTCTTTGGTAGGTCTAAAGCTCTAGATATCATTGTTATCCAGTCTTTTCCAGGAGGAATATCAACTGCAGGTGAGGCAAATGTAGACTTATACATCATCTTGTCAGCCATAACTTGATTATAATGTTCTCTTCCTTTTTGACGTAACTGTTCTAACTCAATTTCTCTTTCTGTCTGAGCCAAGCGTATTTTGGCTAACTCTAACTCTAACAAGGGATCCATTCGACAGCTATTTCCTCCAAACTGATCATCATTATGAGTTTCCGAATAGTGGGGAGACAATTCAGGAATCTGATCCGTTTTATGATTTTCCATCGACATTTAACAGTACTCAATGTGTGAATTTTTGATGAGATACTGGTCGAAACTATGTAGGATTTATTTTGTCCTACAGATATACTATTAAAACTGTAAACGCGATACTGGCGATCCCAGAGTCTATGTGAAAGCTATAGTCAGAACAAGGACAACTTGGCTTTAAACTTTATCTGTTTCTGAACATAAAAACAATTAGATTAGTACAATAATAAAAGAATTACAGTCATTAAGTGAAACGCACAAACATACCGACCAGTATTGCGTGTCTTAATAAAATGAATAAATTTATGAGTCACACTAATATAATAGGATAATAATGTCTTTCAATTGGTAGGTCATATGCAACAGGGATAGTTTACAGACACATCAGACCATGTTAACGTGGTGGGAGCTTAAGCAACGATTTGATTGGTTAGTTATGGACATAACTAACATAGGCCGCCGACCAGCTTTCTCCAAACCACTCTGTCCTGGGCTTCCTTTTCTAGTTCTACCCAGTTCTTGTTCATTATTCTCATGTCTGTCTCAATTTCTCGGCGTAATGTGTTCTTTGGTCTCCCTCTTCTCCTTTGACCTTCAGGACTCCATGTGAGGGCTTGTCTTGTGACGCAATCAGGTGATTTCCTCAAGGTGTGCCCAATCCACTTCCAGCGCTTCTTCCTGATTTCTTCCTCTGCTGGAATCTGGTTTGTTGTCTCCCACAGTAACTTGCTGCTGATAGTGTCTCGCCATCGGATCCGAAGTATCTTGCGTAGACAGCTGTTGATGAACACTTGTATCTTCTGGATAATGGCTTTCGTAGTTCTCCACGTCTCCGCCCCATACAGTAGAACTGTCTTGACATTTGTATTGAAAATTCTAACCTTGGTGTTGGTTGACAATTGTTTTGAGCTCCAGATGTTTTTGAGTTGTATGTATGCTACTCTTGCTTTGCCGATCCGCGCCCTCACATCTGCATCTGATCCACCGTGTTCATCAATGATGCTGCCCAGATATGTAAAGGTTTCCACATCCTTCAAAGCTTCTCCGTCAAGTGTAATTTGATTGGTGCATATTGTATTGTATCGAAGAGTCTTGCTTTTCCCTTTGTTTATATTGAGACCTACTGCTGCTGCAACACTGGTCGTTTTCTCCTACATTTGTTGTTGCGTTTGTGATAGAAGAGCCAGATCATCCACGAAGTCTAAATCATCAAGCTGCATCCTGCCTGTCCACTGTATCCCGTGCATTCCTCCAGATGTTGACGTCTTCATGATCCAGTCGATGACCAGGAGAAAGGGAAAGGGTGAGAGTAAGCAACCTTGCCTAACACCGGTCTTTACTTTAAACGACTCGGTGAGTTGTCCTCCGTGGACGATTTGGCAGTTTAGTCCATCATAGGAGTTCCGTATGATATTGACTATCTTCTCAGGCACACCGTAGTGTCGAAGAAGCTAGAAACATCACCAAAATAAAAAGTCACATGTAGAATTTCTGATTGACTGATTACTACACTGCTACTATGTTTAGTAATATTTTAGAATTTTCAGGAAAACCCTAACACTTTTAAAATACTATAAAAGCCCTATATTTTTTGTACATAAAGGAACCTTTGGAGTAAAGTGCTTCTCGCATATTTTGCACCTTTTCTCTCGTGTTCAAATCACTGTGTAGATTTAACTTGAGGGTTAAAAGACTAGCTTAGCATACGAATATAGCGTTCAATCAGCAATACTTATCATAATTTGAATATTATTTGTTTCGTTTGTTTTTATTAATTTTTAACTGCCTAAATGGTTTATTTTTCATTGTTGATCTTTTCTATATCAGTAATAGATGAAATTAATGAAAGAAGTGAATTTTTGACACAAATGAGAAAACTTGGACGACTTAAAGAATATCAAACAACTGTTGAAACAGAAATATCTCAAGTGAGTTGAAAGAAAAGAAACTAATTTTCGTCATATTTTTCCAGTGAGAAGACGTGACCAGTGGAGTCCAATCTGCGTCAGATGAAGACACTTATCCACCTCAGACAATGGATGAAGGGTTGCGTATGATCATGGATCGATTAAAGTTAGACTGACTTAGTTGTCTAGAGATGAAGCGTCCGCACGTAGGACCGAAGGTTCACGTGCGGAATCATGATTGCGCACTGCTGAGGGGTTCCATACTAGGAGGAAACGGCCGTCCATTGCCTTCGGGTTTTCAATGGTGATCTTGCTTAGATCGACTCATAAATTCAACTATTAAAAAAGAAATATTAGAAAAACTTATCATTTAAGTAGGTTTCTATCTTAGAGGATTCATTAGTAAATAGAGTTTGAAGAAACTATGAATAAGTGATCTCTAAGAAGAAAATTAACCGTAGGTAGATCATCAGTTAGTTTTTCTCAAATTAACCTTAGTTACAAATCAATATACTATTGTACCTTTATTATGTACGCTTGAGCATTGCTTACTACATACTCATGTATTCATTCTGCTAGCCTTGCTTACTATTAATCGCTTAATTGATTCGATAATTCATTCATTTCCATTTGTATATATATGTACATCTTAATCCTGTTCATTGACTCGCTTATTCACTGTACTCGCTTACTCGCTGATTCGATCCATCGATCTCTCGTTTGCTTTGCGGCACTACTCTTTCATGTTTGCTTAACGTGCATGTAATTTTGGATATCTGTGTTGTGGTTCAATAATAAACGCAATCAACACTTTGTATTCGTCTTCTGATGATTTATACACAGTTGGAGCGTTATCGAGTAACGGTTATCCTGACAAACAATATACTAAGTTTAAGCATAATATCAAATACCGACCATCATCATTTCACTAATACTTTAGTTAATATCATTTTTAATGAATATAACCTGATTATTATTTTAAGTTGTTCTTAGTTCATTGATATTATTATATGTTCCCCCTATTTTCTTTATATATTCTTATGAATAATAATAATGAAGTTAATACGTGAAATGGAACAAATTGATTTGAAACGAACCAAACAAATGAATCAAAGTGATCTGAACAATTGATTTCTTTGATCAGAAATCAATCAGATTGGCAATGGATACATTTATATAAACATATCAGAACCCATAATGTAAAAAATAATTATTTTTCCTCTTCTCGATCTCTCTTTCTTTCTCCCTCTCTCTGTCTCCCTGTCTCTATCCCGAAAACCCACTGTATTAATGCATATACAGTATATTTCTGATTCAATAATTTAATGTTTTGTCAAACTATCAGTCTTATCATTGACCTAAAAAACGTTAATAAAGGTTTATCTAACTCTAGTTAGATCGAAAGATTTTAACAAAATATACATCCCATCTACCCTTGTATATAATTATTGACTTCATTAGCGTCAGTGTATAACGGAATAAGTCAAAAGGGTAGAATGAATTCAGGATACGTATATTTCATATACACGACCTACAGAGAAAATCAAAGGAGCGAAGCTCAGAAGAACATCAGACGAGTCAAGTGTGCCAAATTGATTTTATAAAGCGTATCTCAATATTTATGTCCAAACAAAAATAACCTAAAGATATGTGATGAACAGGGTAAGGGACACACACATGCTCATATAAAAACAGTCAAGGTTGTATGAGAATAATTGACAAGGTCAAAATGAGCTTCATATAGTCTGAATTTATCACGAAGAGAAATCAAACAGAAAAAATATACATCAAAATATAAACATAACATCAAAAGCCAAAATACAAAGGGGAATAAAGAACACAAGAAAATGTACACAGAATTTCATATAGAAAACAAAAACATCAGTCCCAGAAAGCTGAAAACGAGAAAAAAAAGAGTTCAGCAATCCAAGAATAAAACGTTACATTAAAATGAAACAAAGACATGTCCACGACCTGCAGTTAGTGGGATCTCTCATCAGAAATATACTGCCAGAAGAGGTCCCAGGGGTACATATCTCGAAAGTCATCAGACTTGGTAAGTATGTTGGAGACGAAACCCAACAGAGAAGGATCCTCAAATTAGTACTCGGTAATTTTGAGGAACGGGACGTATTACTAAATAACTCACGCAAAACTCGTGACTCAAACATTCGTATTCGACCTGACTGGCCACTTGAGGATCGGATCAAGTGGAAGAATGCCCTAACAGAGTTAAAAACTCGAAGGCTAAACGGTGAAGCGAACCTTACGATTAAGGGTTTTCGGGTAGTCAGGTCTTGGAAGCCAATGCTTCCGAGACCTGTGTGGGTAGAACGCATGTCTCCAAAAACACCCTAAATGTGTGTTATACGAATGCTCGTAGTCTTCGGAATAAGATGTCTGAACTAAGTTTGATGGTAGACGACTTAAATCCGGATATAATTGTTATCACCGAATCTTGGCTCACTGTAGATATAGACTGTTCTCCAGTCATTTCAGGCTACATCTGTGTCAGAAGTGATAGAGTTAGAAGTCGCAAGGGAGGAGGCATAATATTATATATTAGGGACCACTTCCGCATTAACTCGATCATATCGGAGGCGCATGTAAGTGGTACGTGTGAGGTAGTATGTTGTACAATTAGGTCTAGAAACGGGTTAGTGACGATAGGAGGAATATATCGTAGTCCGTGTTGTCTCGCTGACGACTTTATCCTAAAACACGTCTGTTCTTGGAGTAAAGCAGAATGTTGTCTCATCGTTGGAGATTTCAATGCACCCCATATAAACTGGATAGAGCTCACAGCTCCAGGTGGGGGTTTCGATAGCGTCCTTCTGTCATCAATTATTCAATGTGCACTTGTACAATGTATCGTTAAGCCAACACATATAGACTTGGAACATAATCCGTCATTGATAGACCTTGTCCTCACACACCACTGTGAAGATATCGTTGACATTCAACATCTTCCCCCACTGGTGAATAGTGACCATGTCGTACTTTCCTTTAAGTTCCGGATACATGGTATAGAATTTGCATCAGCTCCAACCCGTCCTAATATCTGGAGAGCTAATATTCCGGCAATCAGGGACTATGCTATCTCAATTGACTGGTCGGTCGATGCTGATGGATCGATTGATGATGCATGGAATAGGTTTAAGTCTACGTTCGAATCCGTATCTCAACCGTTTATCCCATGGTCAGCACGTAAGTTATTGTAGTGAACAGAACACTAGTTGGGGACAATCGAATGCAATCACAATTGATTGATCACTGGGTGGTGATCAATCTCATGCGTGTCAGGTCCTTCTTAGTGCTGATCGAATGCTATCGATCGAGTTGCCATGTGACCACCAGTCTAGGTGGCTCGACACTGCTTGCACTATGTATATTGAGGTAAGGTGGTGGTTGGAGGTGGTCAACAGGAAACCCTGGACCCGGGTTTCGTGCTACTTGGCACTCGTCAGCAAGGTGTACCTGTAATCCTGAGGGAACTGATGCTCCCTGGCGGATTCGATCCCGCATGGCAACTCGATCGATAGCATTCGATCAGCACTAAGAAGGACCTGACACGCATGAGATTGATCACCACCCAGTGATCAATCAATTGTGATTACATCTCAGTCCTACAGGAGGTTGGTCGCGGCCCGAATAGCTCAGTGGTAACGTCTCTGACTGTGAAGCTGAGTGACGCGGGATCGAATCCGCCAGGGAGCATCAGTTCCCTCAGGATTACAGGTACACCTTGCTGACGAGTGCCAAGTAGCACGAAACCCGGGTCCAGAGTTTCCTGTTGACCACCTCCAACCACCACCTTACAATCGAATGTATTTAAGCAAAAGTTACAGACTATCTCAGTAAATTCTGATTACCAAACAATGAACAGTCAATTTGCAAATTAACAACAATTTGTTTCAATCTTCACTGTTTCTTCTCTAATTCCATTGCTCATTCATTTTCCAAACGATTGCGCTTCATTTGCGTTCTTTGCTCATCGGTCTTCTGCGAAAATACATTCTATGTCTGACCCACACCATATACTACTTATATAGATATAAGTAGACAACACCACACTCGTCCCCCCTTTAAAGCATTCGACCATGCGGTGGTTCTGCTCGCCACGCCACTACCTTCTTTCACTGCAGTCTGTGCCAAACTCTCAGTCAGAATGTCGAGTCTGCGGCGGGCTGACCTCCATAGCTCCGTCGATCTGCCGGGGCACCAACATCCGCATCCACCCGGCACCTGGGACGTTCAACGCCCGAACTCCACCGGCCTGCTGAGCCATCTACATCCGATGTCCGCCCAGCAGCCGCACGTCCCACTGCTCCTCTCCGTCGACAGCACCCTCTACAGCCAACGCCGCCCCGCCAGAACACTCCACTCGACGCCACCTCTCCGCACCAGACTGCCCCAACTAGCACCTCAACCCCAGACCCGCAGCGGCGTCCGCAGAACAGCACCCTTCCTCCTCCTGATTGGCAGCGACACCAAATGTAGTGAACATAACACTGGTTGGGGACAATCGAATGTATTTAAGCAAACATTACAGACTATCTCAGTAAATTCTGATTACCAAACAATGAACAGTCAATTTGCAAATTAACAACAATTTGTTTCAATCTTCACTGTTTCTTCTCTAATTCCATTGCTCATTCATTTTCCAAACGATTGCGCTTCATTTGCGTTCTTTGCTCATCGGTCTTCTGCGAAAATACATTCTATGTCTGACCCACACCATATACTACTTATATAGATATAAGTAGACAACACCACATTATCATATTGCCCTCCATGGATTAATAAGGAAACCCGGAAGCTGTTGAAGCGTAGGAAACACTTCTGGGACTTATTCTTGTCAACAGGTCAGGCATCATTTAAGTGCGAATATAAAAAAATCCGGAATATATGTAAAAAGACCATAGCTAAATCCCGCACGGCTTACGAACGACAGTTGGCATACGATAGCCGTACCTGTCCGAAGCGCCTGTTTTCGTACGTTAAAAGGCGGACGAAACGGAGTGATGGCATCCCCTCATTACTGTTAAGCGAAAATTCAGCTTTATTGGCTGAATCTGATCTGGCGAAAGCGGAGTTATTTGCTAACTATTTCAGTGAAGTCTACTCTACGTGTAGTGTTACAACTACTTGTCCCGTTGACAATGAGATACCAGCCATAGGACCCTTACACGTGACAGAGGATATAGTTCTTCCTTTGATAACTAACCTAAAACCTTGTAAGATACCGGGCCCCGATGGGTTACACCCACGTTTGCTGTCGTCGCTTGCGGACATTATCTCAAGACCGCTCACGATGCTCTTCAACATGTCCCTTTCACAGGCTCAACTACCTAGAGACTGGAAAGACGCCATAGTTAGTCCTATATTTAAGGATGGTCAGAGACGGATAGTATCTAACTACCGGCCTGTTAGCCTGACCAGTATAGTAGTTAAGTTACTTGAAAAATTAATTCGGGCTAAGCTACTGAGCCACATAGATTCGTACAATCTGTTAACTCCCGAGCAACATGGGTTTCGTAACAAGCATTCATGCTTGACTAACTTACTCATTGCGAGAGAGGATTGGACAGCTGCACTAGACAACGGCCAGTCTGTCGACGTGATATTTATAGATTTTAGCAAAGCGTTTGATAAGGTTTCACACTTAGGTCTCATGCAAAAGCTCTCGAGCTTTGGTATAACAGGTGCTATACAGGAATGGATAGGAAGCTTCTTATGTGACCGCAGACAGAGAGTGAGAGTCAATGGAACTCTATCCGAATGGAAACCGGTCAAAAGTGGTGTACCCCAAGGCACCATCTTGGGCCCTTTACTTTTCCTTCTGTATATTAATGAACTACCTTTATTACTGAAGTCGTCGACGTTATTGTTTGCGGATGATGTTAAAATCTGGAGAACAATAAGAAATGAGATTGATCGTTGTTATCTACAAGCAGATTTAGACGAATTAGTTAGGTGGGCTCATGATTGGGGCCTGGAAGTTAATTTCAGGAAGAGCGTGTTCATGCACATCGGGCACGATATTAGTTACCACTATACCATTAATGGTACATCTCTGCCACGCGTTCATACGCATAAAGACTTAGGAGTAATTATAAATCACGACTTAAAAACTACTACGCACTGCAGTGCGGTTGCTTCCAAAGGCTATCGCGCGCTATGGTCGCTTCGCAGAGCATTTAAATGCTTTGACGAGGATATGTTTCGAATTTTATATCCCACCTATGTAAGGCCACACTTAGAATACTGTATCCAAGCAGCTAGCCCTTGTCTGATAAAGGATACTAAATCGCTTGAGCGTGTCCAGCGTGAAGGGACAAAATTAGTAAAGGGTCTTTCCAAACTCCCTTACGATGAGCGTTTAAAACGTCTAAATCTTTTCCCCTTATCTTATCGTAGGACGCGA